TATTGCAAAATATCTTTTTGTATTGTATATGGACAGAAGAAAAAAAAAAGCCTTTAGGAGAAGAAGCCAGTTTAGCTATACTAGTTTTAAGACCATAAAGAAAGGCACCATTTCTAAAAGATCAGTGAGTAAATGAAGTATTCATGCCTGTTAACAATTATCTCAACGATGAAAAAATAGTACATAAATTTGTATTTTATAACACTCAATTCAATTTCAAATTTAGCATATACTTCTATATAAAAAAGTACTTTTTATATATTCAACAACAAATTTAGTATTACTGGTAGGAGACCAATTTTTCCCCAAATTACAAAGCTGTCAATCAAACTTGTCTGTAATCTATACCAGATAAGTATTCATTTGATCTGATATGAGGTAGTAAACTATAGCTATACTTTAAACACAGAATTTTCACTATGAAACACTGTCTCATTTTTTAATCTCCTGCAAAATTGGACATAAAATGCACATAGCATGGGATTTTATTTTTCCCTTTTGAGATTAAATTTAAACTGCTGAGAACAACTTCCTAATACCCAAAGCAATGCAGTACTCCAAATCAGTAAAATGATCACTGAACAAATCAGATCTTAGTAGTTTACAGGGGCACAAAGAAGCAGTAAAAAGCAAAACTCAAATCTATGTAGCTGGGCACTATGGCACATGATTATAATCCTAGCAACTCAGGAGGCTGATGCAAGAGGATCACAAGTTCAAGACCAGCCTGGGGCATTTAGCAAGATGAGACCCTGTCTTAAATAAATGAAAAGGCTGGGATGTAACTCAGTGGTAGAATGCCTCTCGGTTCAATCTCCAGTAAAACACGCACACGCACAAGCACACATACACGCATACTTGTACACAGGTAAAACAAGAACACCCGCTATCTTTGTTTACTAAACACTCTAAAATGAAACAATGTCCAACTACCGTTAGGAAGAAAGAGCATTCAAACTATAATAGCAGTGAAATTTTACAATGAATTTAATACTGTAGGGATAGCTAAATGCATAATTTATATTAAAAATAATATAAAAGCTCTCTGCTATTATTAACTACATAATATTTTGTTAGATATAGGAATTTGAAGAAATTAAAAATCAGCAGTAAAGCACATGGGAAAGACATCATAATCTACACAGGTATAAGGTTCACCATCGTTTAAATAGACAGATGAGGAAAACTGAGGCAGTTTTAACAATTAGCTACTAAAGGCAACTACTCTAGGAGATTACCAATTTGATACTATGCCTATTAATTATGCTCATTAACAACAGTGCAACACAATAAATCTTTTTCAAGTCAAAGCGCTCTTTTCAGAACTTCCAATGCCTGAGAAATAATTAGAGTTCATTTTTTTCAGGTTTTTACAAAGTACACATGTTTATAAAAGGTCATAAGTAAAAACACATAAACAAAAACCTAGTTTTTTCAACTATGAGGGGCCAAAAAAACCCCATGAATTTAAATAAATAAAATTAAGGAAAGAGATGTGAGTCATAATTGTCACCATCTATAATTTGTCATTTAAATCATATCTTGAAAAATATAGCTATATCACATAATCAATGTTATTGTCTGTGTCTATAAGAATTCTATCATCTAGCGAACATGATTTTCCTTGTACATATATGAATAAATGACCAGTTAACTCCACATCATGTACAATGACAAAAATGGGGAGTTATACTCCACATATATATGATACATCAAAATATATTCTACTGTCATGTATAACTAAAAAGAAAAAATAAACAATTCAAAAGAAAGAAAACTATCATCTATAGGCCTACATGGTCAAAATGGATAAATGAACTGGTAAGGTAAAAAAAGATAGATAGATAGATAGGTAGGGTAGATAAAGAGAAAAGAAAAAGCTATTTTTCTAAATAACAAGACAACAGAATTAATGAATATATTGTTTGGGCTCAAATATTTGGAAATAAATGTACTCATTAATTTGATTTCAATTCTATAAGTAGTTTGAAGAAATAAAAGAATGATTGCTCAAGCATTTTATAATCAAAGATTCAATGGCATAAAATTACATTCTGTTCTACATATTAATTGCAAATAATCATGACATACATGTTACCAAAGACAATATACGGGAGTAATTACATTAAAATACCTCCACAAATGAGATAAATAAACATTTGAATTAATACAAACATATACTGAACACTATAACATAAGGGGATAGTATGTGACCAACATAATCTTACCAGTCTTTTGATCCAAGTTTCCTGCCAAGGTTTATGTGTTGATTTTTCCTAATTTAGATAACTTTTATTAGATCTACTTCTTGGAAAATATTACCATATGACGTAGAAATTCATTTCTTTATGTACTATAAGAAGTCAGATAACTATGATTGAGAGAACCTAACAATCTTGTGATTCTAATGGCTTATGGAAAATTTGAAGCTACAGTTTTTTAAGACTATAAAATAAAGGTCATAACCTCTGTAAATTAGTCCATTGGGCTCATCATATACTTGTTGAACTGGACTGATGTTTAATTAAATTGATAATCATGTAGTACTATCAAAAAACAATCAAAGAAGACTGTATGTATTTCTGACATGCAAATCATTTACCTTTTTTACTTTCATTTAAAGAGTTTTAGAATTATAAGCTGGGTACTGTGTCCCAGCGGCTCAGGAGGCTGAGACAGGAGGATCTCAAGTTCAAAACCAGCTTTAGCAAAAGCAAGGTGCTGGGGCTGAGGATATAGCTCAGTTGATAGAATGCTTGCCTCACATGCACAAGGCCCTTGGTTCAATCCCCAGCAACACACACACACACACACACACACACACACACAGCAAGGTGCTAAGCAGCTCAGTGAGACCCTGACTCTTAAATAAAATTCAAACTAGGGCAGGAGATGTGGGTCAGTGGTCAAGTGCCCCTGAGCTTAATCCCCGGTAGCTCCCCTCCCTTCCTGCCAAAAAAAAAAAAAAAAAAAAAGAAGAAGAAGAAGAAAAAGAATAATAGAATTATAAGGTATAAAACTAAAAATTTACTCCATAAAATCTACCCAAAGACTTTTTATCACACTCAGATTAAAATATAAATATGACCCACGTGATCTGGTCCAGGTTACTTTTCAGCATTACCTCTCATCTCTCTGCCTCTATCCCTGCACTCCAGGCTCACAGCCTTCTTGCTGGTCTTGAAGCAAGCACACTAGGCAACATTGAGAACATTTGTTGCTCTCTTTGTCTAGCATGCTATCCCCCTGGATATATTCAAATATTTCCTCTTTTGGAAAAACTTCATGACCACATTATGAAATGCAGCACTTTCTATCACTGCCTTCTAGTCTACTTAATTTAAAAAAAAAAAAAATACTTTTTTTTTCCTTCTCAATGCTAGGGCCTTATGCATGATAGGCCTACCACTAAGCCACATACCCAGGCAATTAAATAGCAAGTTTTTAACAGAAAAAGCTTTAATAGCCTGTGACATTCATTTTCTATTTTTCCAACTCATCCCACTAGAATTGTTTTGTTCACTGATGAATCACATATGACAAGAACTGTGCCTGGAAAATAGGTAGTAGCTCAGTAAATACATGGCAAATGAGTAAAAGAATGAAAATCCTTTTAGTCTCCAAATTTTAGGACCTGTGTATTATGTGTCAGGCATTCTGATAAGGTCAAAATCTCCAGATGAGCTACCACAGCCTCCATTCTCAAGAAATTTAGGTTAGGATTGCTGTATGTATACACATGGATGTATAACCAATGTGATCCTGTAATCTGTACATGTGGAAAAATGAGAATTCATACTCTATTTGAATCAAATGTATGATATGTCAAGATCATTGCACTGTCTTGAGCAACTAACAGAAAAAGATAAAAATATGTAAATAAAGTGTTATAGTTTGATACTGTAGAAATAGTAATATATAAAATTATTAGGAAGGGGAGCAAAAGTTAAACAGAGAGTAGGCAGTGCTACCTAAGAGGAAGCAAAAATCTGTCAAGGTTTTATAAAATAATGCTCTGCAGAATCCTGAAAGTTGAGTAGATATTTGCCAGATGAGCATACCAAAAAGGACACACTCTTAGGAAACTATATAAGAACTAAGATTTACTGAGTCATCATATGTATGTGCATATGAATGGTATGAATACTGAAGGTAGGCAGTTAGAGAGGCAATATAAAGGATGATTTTGTGTTGATGCTTAGAATTTAGTGTTTTGACCACAGATAATAGAGATATTCCACAGATAAGAGTTACCAGATTATCTTTGTACTTGAGATGTATCACAATAAACAGCATCACAGGGCTGAGACAATAGTGATGGAGAGTGTAATTAGAAAATAAGGAAAGCCAATTAGAATAAGAGAGAATAATAAAAACATAAGGCAGTATTAATGGAATACCAGGGAGTAGACACAGAAATGCTTGCAGGATTAACAATATTTAAAGGATGGGGCAGAGAAAGGCAGTTCATTATAAAACTCTGAAGAAAATCTGATGGAGATAAAGAGCATAAGATAGACAGAATGGGGCTCTGTATGCCTTTTCAGGTAGAAATAATGTATGAAGATCAAATAATTGGACAAAAACAGTTCATGGTTGTAACTACTTGATTATGATGATCTAAATCAAATATGTTCAAAGTCGTGGAGATATACTACATCCAAATAAAAAGAGAGGAAGACGTGAGGAACAGAGAACAATTTTGGAAAAACTGATTTATTAAATAAAAATTTCTTTCTAAAAAACTAAAAGATTAATATTTAAGGTATGAATTTGGTGTCAACATACCTTATATACAATCAGAGATATGATAAATTGTGGAATAAAGGTGTATTAAGAATTGTAATGCAAAATAAAAATAATAAGAGAAAAAAGATTAATATTAAAAAAAAATTTTACTTTACCTCAGGTACAATTATCTTTTCATACAAACACATGTATGTTTTAATACTTTTAGGTCAGCATGTAGCTAAATTAAAATAGTATAAAATATTCCTTACCTGAATTTCTAGAATCATTCTGTTAATTTCACCTTGTTGGTTGTCTATTATCTAAAACACAGGAAATAAATCAGTCTTAGTGAATAAACTCATTTTTTCCCACATCGCTTTTCAAAAGTACCAGTATTTCAAGATGAAACAAAGAAAGGCACAGGAAATTATAAATTTGTTTAAAAGGTGTCTTTATAAATTTTACAAAAGTTTTCATAATAAGTATCCTTTAAACAACAATATGACTTAGATCACACATATTTAAATGACAAAAGTCTTCCTGTAGTTCTCAATAAAACTCTTCTCTACGCAACTTATAAAAATAATTTTGAGACAGACTTTGAACAGTTTAGTAAAGAAAAAGATAATCTTTGCTTTGTCATTTATTTCAATTAAATTTTTACACTTACTTAAATGGTTATTTTCTTTCCAAATACAAACATTCAAACTCAAAATTTTATAAGCTATTTAAATATCAACAAAATCACAACTCACAAAAAATGGCTATAAATTATATATCTATATACCCATACTCGCATAGTAGTGATTTCATGTTTACTATCAAAGGCATCTACTGACCTTACAAGCAGCCTCATTCTGTTCCCTCAGATTATCATTTTCATTCTGAAGCTGTTTTGCATCCAACATGGGAAGTCGGATTCCATCTTCAAGACATCTTTCTACTTTTTGTTGCAAACTGTGTGTTTTAGAAAAACATAATTAGATGACGAAAATCAGCTCTATTTGCTTATTTGGGCTGATGGCTTCAAATAAATGCTGTCCATCTTAGAGTCTATAACATTTTTAATCAAGCAACAATCAAGACGCACAGAAAGTATATGATTATCTATTTTATACAAATAAGAAAGGCCCATTAGCTAGAGGCTTATCGCCTTCTCTAAAAGGAAAATTTGACACCAGAGTTGCTTAGTATGTGACATCCTTAGGCCTCAGTAAAGTTCTTCATTATCCAAATGTGAGCTCTCTAATCTAACACTCTGTTCATTCTTTCTTCCCTAAAAGCACAGCTTTTCAACTAAGATGACTGCAGCAGGGAGACTATGAATATGCATATACATCTTTTGCCCTTTTTTCTAAGTTGACCAAAAGTCTGCTTCTAAGGATAGTTTTGTTGCCTAAACGTACAGAATTACATTCTCCTGCATTCATAAGAATAGCACTCTACTATGTTTGCAACTTGGCAAGTTTATCATGCTATCTATGGCAAAGAGTAAACAACATAAGGAAGCCCCTCTGGCACATTAAAAATAAAAGGTTAAAGGGGCAGCGTGTGAGATACTCTCCTTGAGAACAGAACAATAGTAATGTCTAGGTTAAAAGAAATCATATCATTAACAATAATGACCAAAATCGAAACAAAAACAACTACGTGAAAGCTAGAAATAACTCTAGTTTGTCATTCTCTAGTAGCAGAGTCCTAAAAGAGAAATTTCTTATGATTTAGGTTTTTATATTTTCATTATTTTTCTTTTTTTTCACGTATTATGGGTGTCTAAAGCTTTCTCTCTTCCAAAAGCAGGCAATGCCATATTTAGATTGCAAAGAACTGACAATCCTAGATGGTACAATAAGCACTTCAGACATGTTTTATAAATAGATAATGGCAAGAGACAGTTTTATGTATTAGCATGTAGTCTACTGCTTTGCAATACACTGTTACTTATAATAAAAATACTTTTTTTCAATCTATAAATGAAAAATAATTTCTATTTCAAAATAAGTTCTTTCACAATTCAATGCCAAGACACACAATTCAATGTCAAGACACTATCTTCCAGCTACTTGTAACATTTCAAGAGAGAGAAAATTCATTAAAAATATTGAAGTCTTTCAAATTAAAAAGTAAGCCAGGAATGCAGAAGGGAAAAAATGTTCTGTGTTCTCATAAATAGCAAGTAAGTTTTTTCATGCATATTATATATGCAGGAAATGTAGATGCTGGTTTCAAAAAATAATAATTCTCTTGAAAAGCAGAGAAAACTATTACCACATATTTTAATTTTAATTTCTATTTTCTCAATTTATAAATTCCAAAAGTTCTTAAGAGTTAAAAAAGAAACTTAGAAATATTATATAAAATAGATAAAAATATGACATAATTCATGATCACATACATATCTGAAGTTCTTTTGAAATTTAAGGACTATTACATGGCTGAGAAAGCTAAGGTTCTGGACCCAAAATCAAGTGACACCAAAACTATACAAGTACTGAAGAATATTAACAAACTTTTTTTCTTTATATCTACTTGAAAGCAAGAGAAATCTTCTAGGATGATACTAGCACCGTATAAATTTAAAATCATATAAATATATAAAAGCACACAATGTGACAAGATAATATTCAATTATCTTCAGATGTTGTTAATTCTGCTCTTAAAATACACAGCTTAAAGTTTGTTATCATGGTGCTTTATAAGTTAGAACAGCTACATTGCTTTCATTTTACCATAAAGATGAAAGAAAAAGCTATATGGTTGAATACAAGCAAAGATTATGAAGGTATATGTACATGTATGTGTGTGTGTATTTGTAGTTGGACACAATACCTTTATTTTATTATTTCTATGTGATGCTGAGGATCGAACCCAGCACCTTTCACATGCTAGGCAAATGCTCTACTGCTGAGCCACAATCCCAGCTCATGAAGGTGTTTTAGACTAAAGTTTAGGTATAAGATATGGGGTTATAAAAGAGGAAAATTAAAGTGAAAAAAAAAAAAAGCATCAAATAGGAGAAAAATAAAGGTAGAATCAAAAATATGATTTTTTTTTTGAGTTGACATCAGGAAGACTGAAGACTGAATTATCTCAGCAATCAGAGACTTTTCTACTTTAAAACCAAGGAAAAAAACAGGCCAGCCTATACTCAAGACTTTGAAAGAAGTAGCAAAGCAATATTAACATGGAATCGATATGGAATCTGATAGATTTTTGATTTAAAAGCTGAAAACAGAGTTTGTACTTTAATGTTTTTCTTACATTTAGTTTTTTATTGCTTTTTAATATTATTCTTGAGGATGGTTTTATCTATTTATAGTTGATATTAAGTATTATGGTTTGGATGTGAGGTATCCCCCAAAAGCTTACATGTAAGACAATGCAAGAAGGTTCAGAGGAGAAAGGATTGTGTTGTGAATTAATCCCTAATGGGATTAACTGAGTGGTGACTGGAGGTGGGTGGGTATGGCTGGAGGTGGTTAAATGGGGATGTGGTTATTGGACATATATTTTATATCTGGAGAGTAGAGTTTCTTTCTCTGCTTTCTGATCATCTATGAACTACTTCCCTCTGCCACACTCTTCCACCATGTTGTTTCTCCTTACCAGGAGCCCTGAAGAATGATGCCGGCCCATCTATGGTTTGAGACCTCTGAAAACCATAAGCCCTTAAATAAACCTTTCCTCCATTATAATTGTTCTGGTCAGATCTTTTAGTCACAGAGGTGATAAATCTGACTAAAACATTAAAGTTTAAGTTAAATAAGAAAGAGAATTTTTCTTTAGGCATATAGTAGTTCTCTAGGTGTTCTAGGAATCCAATATTAATTTCCAAGCTTAACCACACATTCTGAATATGATAGTCACTCTATTTCAATATGATACAAATGATATTTATTGAGAGCCACAGCCGAAGGGGCCCCAGCAAACTTTCAGACTGCCAGCTGATGATTGGCTCACAGCGGCCCCAGCAACTTCTAGCTGATTGACTCCTCTGCGGTGATGCTCATTGGGCTGTTTCCCTGCCCTTTCAGACCAGGGAGCTGCTCATTGGGGAACTTTTTTTGGCTCCGCCCACGCGACCCAGCCAATCGCCTCAAGAGCAGGAGGAGTGGGGGAGGTTGAGAGGCTTTGTGGGAAGTCAGTGGTGTCAGCTGGGCTCTGAGGGTTTTTCCTGAGGAGGTGTTTTGTTTGGCGTGTGTGTTCTAAAAATAAAGTTAGTTTCTTTTGACGAGTGGCTCCTGAATTGTGCCCAGCCAGACTGCGGCAATATTCACTGTATTTCTAGCTGTATTAATTTAAAAGAGTCATATAAGGCAAGATATTTGAGTTGAATTGGAAGGTACATGTCAAAACTGCTATTTCTGTTACTTGCATTAAGGTGAAATAGGAGTCCATCACTTCCTTTTTGACATAGCCTATTAAAGAATGCAGTGTAAGTATTTTGCTGGCCCCCATTGTTTTGTTATTTAGAATTTTTACATAAGTTTTGACAAAGCCAACAAGGACTTTCATTAATATTCTCAGTCTTCAATTGTTTTTTGTTTTTGTTTGTTCATTATTTACTAATCTCATCTAAACCTTTGGCAAGATGTTGGTATATTGCTTCAAAATGTTAAATCACATCTGAAACAATCTGTTCCAGTGAAATCATACTTTATTATTTTATTTTTATTTTTTGGTACCAGGGATTGAATTCAGGGCACCGAGCTACATCCCCAGCCCTATTTTATAGTTTACTTGGAGACAGGGTCTTACTGAGTTGCTTAGTGCCTCGAAGTTGCTAAGACTGGCTTTGAACTCACAATTCTCCTGTCTCAGCCTCCCAAGTCACTGGGATTACAGGTATGTGCCACTGCGCCTGGCTGAAATTATATTTCTTAGCAGTCCATTTACAAGAAGAAGAATAAAGTAATAATTATAAATGAATATACTTTAAATGAAATGCTTGATGAACTATGAATAACTTAAAACAATGTAAAAAGATTTGGAAAGTTTTCTTACCTCTGAACGGAAGATACTAACTCCTTTTCTTTCTTTTTCTGGCAAATTAACTGGGCTTCTTTTTCTTGACATTGTTTTTTGATCTCTTCGAGCTTTTTTTCTGCATCTAGCAAAGTCTCTTGCAAATTCTTATTTTTTTCTTCTAGGACCTGAAGCTAAGGAGAATTTTTATAGCTCATAACACATGAAATATTAAATGTTTCTATTAGAAATTACTACTGGTTCTCAAGGATTAACACATTGCTAAAATTATGCTATCTACATTTCATTGAGAGTTCTTAACACTATCTCTCCTTTGAGTGGAAGAGAGTTATGAGAATGGGACTGTGGAGAAGAGAATGGGATTAGGCATTTCTAGAAGACAGGAGGATTTTTACTTAGAATTGTGGTAAGATAATATAACAAAATTTACCAGCTTAACCATTTCTAAGTGTATAGTTCAGTGTGTTAAGTACATTCACACTGTTGTTCAACCAATCTCCAGAACTCACCTTGCATAATTTAAGCTCTATACCCAATAAACAACTCCCCCAATCCATACCTTACTCTATCCCCTGGAAATCAGCTTTCTACTTTCTATGATTTGACTCTTCTTGGACCCCATATAAGTTAGAACAGGATTTATCTTTTTGTGAATGATTTATTTCATTCAGTAAAATATCTTCTAATTAATCCAGTTTGTAGTATATGCCAGAATTTCCTTCCTTTATAGGGATGAGTAATTTTTCACTCTATGTATACATGATTTATAAACAATCTTTTGCTTACCTGCTCATACACCCATGGACACTTGCATTGGTTCCATCTTTTGACTATTATGAATAACACTGTTATCTGTTCAAGACCCTTGATAGTAGCTATCCTAATGTTGTAAGATAGTGTCATCTCATGTTATTTAATTTATAGTGCTCTGTTTCTGCTCATGTAACTTCCTGTGGTTAAGTTACTTCCTGACCTTAATCTCTTTCAGTTTTACAACTTATAAATTAATACAAAATAAAGACTGCTCTATAGATATGAGAATATGCAGAATAATGGCACTCCATGGATTAGACCAATGATTCTCAACTGGGAGTGATGTTTACCTTCAGGGAACATTTGGAAATGTCTGTTAACATTTTTGGATTTGGAGAGAGGGGAGGGAACAGTGTTATTAGCGCTTAGTAGGTAGAGGCCAGAAGGTCAAATGCAAAAAGTGTACATCCATCCATGCACAGGACAGATCATTAAAAGAAAATATTTTCTACCCCTAATTGTCAATAGTACCAAACTGAGGAACCCTGCTTAGGAAGACTTTGAGAAAAAAATTGAAGAGTAGATTTTATGGATTTATAAGTAAGATTTAGGCAGGCAGGCTTCGCCAGAATTGACAGGAAGACTTTGGATTGAGGTACTGTTAAAAAAGAAAAACAGAAATCAGGGGAGTGAACAGAAGTCAGATGAAGGTCTAAGGAATAATTTATGGAAAGGCTAAGAAGAATGAGGAAAACAAACATCTAGAAAGATACTCAAAAGAACGTTGTGAAGAGTCTTGAATCGCAGAGAATATTGGAGAAATTCAGAATTCGTGTACATGCATGAGTATCTATGGGGCGGGTTTATCAGACTGGTTTAGAAACAACCTTTTACAGTAGAACATTTAAGTGAGAGGGTTATCACACAGGTTAATGAGGAATGTAACCACATATTATTTAACAATGAGAGTTCTATTCATGCTTGGATGAACAAAGTTTCTGATTCAACTAAATCCTAAAACAGCAATTAAATAGTAATTTATAATTAGTGAAATTTCTAAAGAATAGTGCTTTCATGGAATTTAAAAGACGAGACCATTATTTCATATTACCTGTAGACTCTGACTTTGTACATCATCTAGAGTTGGAAGATCAGCCAGATACTTTTCCAAGGTCTCAATTCTTCTCTGCTTTTCTTTGTTTTGTTCAGATTCCTTCTGGCATTTCTTTTTCAGGCTATTGATATATCTATCTCTGGTTTTAAGCTAAAGAAAAAAATTATGAATCTTCAGTGGTTTTGAGTCATTAACAAAACAAACATTACAGTCTTGGGCATCAATGAATTCATCCATAGTTCTAGGTTAGAGTGGAGACCACCACCACCCTCAATTAAGATTTACCTTATTTCATTATAAGATTCACACTTTTTTTTTTCAAATTTTTATATCCCTGTAATTATGACTTTTGGGTTTTTTTTATTTGCTTTTACCAGGGTAGCATCCTATAAATTGCAGTCAGGTGGCAGTAAGAATGTAGTTTTTATTGCCTACATATATACAAATTTGGCCAAGATTGTTCACATCTTTGTCATTTCAATAGTGTAACAGTTGTCATTTCATAGTTCATGTTGAAACTATGTGTTGAGTCTAAAGGATGTTGGATATTTAAAATAACTTTGAAAACATCACAGTTCAACTTGGAATTTTAAAAAGTTACTGCATATCTAGAAAAGCACAAAAATAAAGTCACACATGTACTTGTCTCTGGAGTAATAATTACAATTTATTTTTTGCAAAGCTATATCCAAATGCTTTATGTGAACTCCTGGAAGAAGACATATAAAGTAATCAAAGCTGTTTTGCTACTAACAAATCTTCAAAAGAATTGCCTATCATGTTCTAAGCAATGCAACCAGAGCGAGGAGACATTACCAAATACTTAGGAACAAATAAGACCCTAGTGTGAACAATTTCACATCTTAATCAAGACTATTCCTAATGCACTGTGTCATGATTAAATTTTTAGCACATTTTCTTTCTAAAAAGAAAACATAAAGGTGCCTTACACTGATGTCACTTTAGCACTGATAAATTGTGCTAATTAAATAAACATCTACTGTACAACACACATTGTACATTATTCCAGGAAATCCCAACTTGTACAAGCTAAACCTCAAATTTTTGTGTAATAACTTTTTATGTTACAACCTGAAATATGACAACTTCAAATTTCACATCTCATATTCATACTTTCATACTTCAGATCAATTAGGAATAAAATGTGTACAAAAACTATTGCCTCAAAGATAAATTCCTGGACTCACATTTACCAGTGTTCTATTTAATGCTTTTATAGAAACTTAGCAGGGTTCTGAAGCATTTTTACAGACGTCTCCAAGTTCGCCAGGGAAACTGAGTCGTACTATAATGGATTACACACTGAACTTTTGGTAAAGCTAACACTGATACCTGGCCTACCTTCTTTTTCATGTCTTACCTAATGCAATTTCCTGTGGTTAAGTTACTTCCTGACCTTAATCTCTTTCAGTTTTACAACTTACAAATTAACACAAAATAAACAAAGACTGCTCTATTGATATAAGAATATGCAGGTCTAATGTAAATTTTTGTTTTTATTGAAACAACTCCAATTGGAAAAATTAATCACAGATCATTTGGTCTACTGATTTCATCTGTGATATTATGGTCCATTTTTACTTTGGGTAAGGAGGGTCACTGATAACAGAAAACCCTTTCATTTACTGGGGCTTTCTTAGGATTAATGGTGAGAGTGCTGGTGATGTGACAGTCTAACCTGTGGTCAAAGAATAAATAAACCAAAACTAGATAAACTCACAAACTGCTGACAATATAATTCTTATTAAAAATATGAGGCCCAGAGATCTTTAGTGACTTAATGACAAAACACTGAGTTAGTAGGATTCAAATCTAGATCACCTGACTGAAAACCCATGACTTTATAATTCTTCCATATGATTCATCAGCAGATATTCTCTTAAATTCAATCTGTACTTGAATTCCCTTTCAACAAAATGTGCTTTTGCTAGAGGACCCAGTAAGTTCAGAAGTAAACATAACTAACAAGACTATTTTTACTATATGTTCTCTGATTTAATCTTAGTTGTTTAAATAACAATGCCTCAAAAAAGCACTTACTGAAATAGGTCATCCATGCTGTCTGCATGCAGATGCCCTAGTTTTCTTCTTTTTCTTTTTAGTTAGCCAACTGTCTTCTCTGTTGTTTTATCAACCTTTTCTGCCTTTGTTCACAAATTTCTGCTAACATTCTCTGATGGGATATCATCTCTGTTATTTGTTAATCACATATGAGCACACATAATCACGGGATGTTGGTTTTTTTCAGTCCTTCCAACTGATTAGAAGCTCTCCATTTTGTGTGGGTTGTTTTAACTGCCAAGTTTTGTACTGTTTCAGATTAACAAAGGTTATTAAAATCTGAACTCCAGGTAAATGAAGGATCATTAATAAGTCTTTTTTTTTTTTTTCCTTTTGGTACCAGGTATTGAACTCAGGGTACTTCACCAATGAACCACTTCCCCAGCCCTTTATTTTTTGAGACAGGGTGCTGATAAGTCGCTTAAGGCCTCTTTAGGTTTCTGAGGCTGATTTTGAACTTGTGATTCTCTTGCCACAGCCTCCTGAGCTGCTGGATTACAGGCATGAGCCACCACGCCCAGCTAATTATTTTACTTTTAAAAGGCAAGTTCTTCCTTTCAAAGAGGTATGATCCAATACTGAAATCACTCCTAGGAGTTAACAGCAAGGCCATATTTTAGAGAAGTTTAAAAGTCTATTTTTTATCTATTTTAATTTATTAAAACTGAATAGGTTAATGAGAGAACATTTTCCTATAAGTAATTTTTAATATAAGTCATTATTAGAACCAACATATCAGATGTAGAGTTAAATTGTTTTGAATGTTATTCAAAGTTTTAAAAAAATTAGCTATAAGTATCTGGACAAATTATTTCAGCTTCAGTTACCTCATTTTTTATTTAATTTAAGAATTTTTTTTTCCACTTTTGAGTGATGGAGACTGAATCCAGGGTCTTAAGCATGCTGAGCACATGCTCTACCACTAAGCTATATCCACCCAAGTTACCTCCTTTCTAAAAAGGAGGTATAGTATACCTCATAATGTTTTTATGAAAATTAGAATGAAATGAGAAAATACAATAAACATATATTTACATGCTCTCTGGCTCATAAAAGAAAGACTACATCAAAGGGTAATTTTTATTATTATTGTTGTTGTTATTCACATTAAGTTTTTCTCTCGCAGAATAAGTCTTCATCACAGTTACAGAAAGTAAATACACAGAAAGAAATAATGTGATCCAATCTTGTGTTGGCCTTAAGTGCTGTTTATCTAATTTTTTTTTAAACCAATGAACCTACTTTCTAGATTCCCTTCAAGAACTTGTCTTATATTAGACAAAGGTGCCAAGAACATGCATTGGAGAAAAGACAGCCTCTTCAACAAATGATGCTGGGAATACTGGAAATCCATATGCAGCAAAATGAGATTAAACCCATCTCTCTCACCATGCACAAAACTTAATTCAAAATGGATCAAGGACTTAGATATAGGGTCCCTGGATTTTCCTAATAGAAGTAGGCCCTAATCTTCATCATGGGGGATTAGCTCCCAACTTCCTTAATAAGACTCCTGTGGTGCAAGAATTAAAATCAAGAATCAATAAATGGGATGAACTCAAACTAAAAAGTTTCTCAGCAAAAGAAACAATATGAGAGGTGAATAGAGAGCCTACATCTTGGGAGCAAATCTTTACCCCTCACACATCAGATATAGCACTAATCTCTAGGCTATATAAGAACTCAAAAAGCTAAACACCAAAAAGCAAATAATCCAATCAATAAATGGGCCAGAACAGACACTTCTCAGAAGGATATACAATCAATCAACAAATACATGAAAAAATGTTCATCATCACTAGCAATGCAAATCAAAACCACTCTAAGATTTCATCTCACTCCAGTCAGAATGGCAGCTATTATGAAGACAAACAACAATAAGTGTTGGTGAGGATGTGGAAGAAAAAAGTACACTCATACACTGTTGGTGGGACTGCAAATTGGTGCAGCCAATACGGAAAGCAGTATGGAGATTCCTTGGAAAACTTGAAACGGAACCACCATTTGACCCAGTTATCCCACTCCTCGGTCTATACCAAAGGACTTAAAAACAGCATACTATAGGGACACAGCCATATCAATGTTTATAGCAGCACAATTCACAATAGCTAAGCTGTGGAACCAACCTAGGTGCCCTTCAATAGATGAATGGATAAAAAAAAATGTGGCATATATACACAATGGAATATTACTCAGCAATAAAAGAGAATAAAATCATGGAATTTGAAGGTAAATGGATGGAGGTTGATTCATAGTGGGATAGGGAGTGGGAGCATGGGAGGAATAGACATACTCTAGATAGGGCAGAGGGATTGGAGGGGAAGGAAGGAGCGGGCATGGGGTAATTAATGATGGTGGAATGTGATGATCATTATTATCCAAAGTATAGATATGAAGACAAGAATTGGTGTGAATACACTGTGCCTACAACCAGAGATATGAAAATTGTGCTCCATATGTGTAATAAGAATTATAATGCATTCCACTAACATATAAATAGAAAGAAATATAAATAGAATATATTTATAACAGAAATATAAATAGAAAGAAAGAACGAACTCATCTTAATTAAAAACAAAAACAAAAAACAGGGGCTGGGTCTGTAGCCTAGCATGCATGAGGCACTGGGTTCAATCCTTTGCACCACATAAAAATAAACAAATAAAAAATAAAGACATGTTGTCCATCTACGTCTACCAAAAATAAATAAATAAAAACCAAAAACAAAAGCAAAAAAGCTCAAGTCTTCTACATCCTCTGACACAAACACTACCTTTGATACTCATCCCTTCTCTTTATGTTTCCCTGGTTTATACATTGGCATTCTTAATTGCCTTGTTTCACAAAGAAGTGATTCTTCCTTCTCTAAGAGTAACTGCCATCTTGGTATCTGTCATTGACCTTTCTCTATGTCTCTTGGGGACTTGGCTCCATCATGTACCAATGACACTTTGACATCACCCCACTGCTCTATCCATAGTCCTCTATTTGAGACTGCTTTGTTTTTTTCTCTTCTCTTGGCACAACTTACTTCAGAGCATTCATTAATCCAGTATGTCAGGTACTGC